TCTTGCATTTTTATATGGCACCTTAATAACCCCTCATTTCCATTACAAGTGCATGCTTTCCTTCTGCTTATCTCCATCTCCATGCGCTCCTTCTCCATTCCTGCAGCCACACCGCCTCCGGCCACGACCCGGGGAGGTTTTTGGGAGCCCGGTTTTGGGGATGCTCGGCGAAGGCAGGACATGTCCCGTGGCTTGGGAGGTGGCAGGACGTGACTCACACGATGGCACGGCTCCATCTGCGTCAATCTTGAACCCGCTGCCTTAACTTAGGGGGTAGGAGATGTTAAACCCAGTGCCCTAATTTCGTGGAGTCATTAAGAGACCGGCTGCGACTTTCTCAAGAGACAAACTCCTCACCTCGGTGCCCCGGGGCCAGATCGGAGCTCCTTTGCCCTGCCTGCCTGCATTCCCCAGGTAGTTACGATCAGATACAAGGCGATTTGCTTCCTGTTGTGTGCTCTTAAGTGGTGGCTGCATTTCAAAAGCAGGGGAGTGATTGAGTCCTATCCCGGCTGTAAAAGGCACCGAGCCTTTCTGGGAAAAGCAGAGCTCCCTGTAATTGGTGCTTCTTAAGGCAAATCCCATCAATACCCTCCTGGCTTTCAACAAGGGCTAAAAACTGCGGAGAGTTTAGGTGATGGACCTGAGATTTAGGGTTTGGTCTCTACAGCCAAAGAACTGCTGGAACGGCTTGTTGGGCTGTGGCCAAGTCCTGGCAAACACGGGAATTCTCCAGGCTGTGCTGCCTGAAGCTCCGTGGGGTTTGAGCTCTGCACCTGGACAGAATCACTGGATTGTAGAATCCTTAAGGCTGGAAAAGACCAACAAGGTCACTGAGCCCAAACCCAGCACTGCCACATCCACTGGTAACCCATGTTCCCAAGTGCCATATCCTTTAAATCCCTCCAGGTGACTCCACCACTGCCCTGGGCAGCTGTGCCAGTTCCTGACACCCCTTCCAGTGAAGAAATTTTCCCTAATATTCAACCCAAATATTCAACTTTCCCTAATATCCAATCCTTGACACAACTTGAGGCCGTTCCCTCTCCTCCTGTCCCTGTTCCCTGGGAGCAGACCCCGATCCCCCGCCTGTCCCCTCTTGGCAGGAGCTGTGCAGAGCCACAAGGTCCCCCCTGAGCCTCCTTTTCTCCAGGCTGAGCCCCTTTCCAGCTCCCTCAGCCTCCCCTGGGGTTCCAGGCCCTTCCCAGCTCCATTCCCTTCCCTGGACATGCTCCAGCCCCTCCATGTCTTTCTTGTAGTGAGGGGAATGCACAGGGAAACACCACTGAGCTGGTGGCTCCTGCTCAATCCAAGCTGGGATCCACAAGCCATGGATTCCCCAGCTGAGGCCACCCCTCTCATACCCACACAGGAGAAGTTTTCCTGCACAAACACCACAGCTGTAGACATTTTCTTTTTGGTCCAAGCTTGGCAAGGCACAGGGGGTCTCCCCAAGGTTTGCAAACACCAGTTCAGCACCCACAGCTCCTTCCCAATAAGCCAAAGGCCTGGATCAGATCTCTTCTGGGCAGAGGAAAGGGTGATTCCCAAGAGATGAGAGCTGACCTGACCAAGGAACGTGCTTTAGGGAAGAACATCATCCTAGTCTCTGAATTGGAGATACCTGGATTTGATGGATGGGCCACTTGTTGGGTCAGGAATTATCTGTGTGGTGGCACTCCAGGAGGTGCAGTGGTGTTCCTTGGGGTTGGGGCTGGCACTGCTTGTTGGTGACAAGGACAGTGGGATCCAGGCACTCTCAGGAGGTTTGTTGGTGACAAGGACAGTGGGATCCAGGCACTCTGAGGAGGTTTGCTAGTGACAAGGACAGTGGGATCCAGGCACTCTCAGGAGGTTTGTTGGTGACAAGGACAGTGGGATCCAGGCACTCTCAGGAGGTTTGCTGGTGATCAGGCTGAGTGGTGCAGGCACATGCTGGAGGGAAGGGATGGAGATGTGGGTCTGTGCAAACCTCATGAAGCTCAGCAAGGCCGAGTGCAAGGTCCTGTGTTGGAAAATCCCAGCTCTACAGAGACAGGGCAACTGAGAGGCCTTTCAAAAGATTTTATTCCATTAGCAGTCTCGATGAAGGGTGAGACATAAGAGATGTAAAACTCAGCACCAATCCATCAGAAGCCAACCTATTTCCTGGTTGCAATACCTTATAAATGTTTTTCAGCCTATTAGCTTTTGCCAGGCAATGCTGTTAATACTTCTAACACCAATCACCTATTATTTTAATCACCTATAATCACCTATCATTCTGCCCCACATGGTCTTGCTACAATGCATCTTTCACAGTTGTAATTCTCTGAAATATCTGGTCTTTTTGCAAGGCCATCTTTTGAAACTTGTTCCTAGCTCAATCTCTCAGCAATGTCATCTCCATTCCATGGCCTTCCTAAGCCAGCACACCTCATTTCAGAGTTTGCATTCAGGTGTGCAAGGCTGTGTGAGCTTTCAGTCAGGTTTTGAGAATCCTTTACAAATCCAGTTCTCACAGTCCTGCACAAGGGTCAGGCCAATCCCAATCCCAAACACAGGCTGGGTGGAGAACGGGGTGAAAGCAGCCCTGAGTAGGAAAACTGGGAATGCTGGAACCACATGACCTTTAAGGACCTTCCAATCCAACCATTCTGTGACTTTATAGGAAGGTTTTAAGATCACTGGGAGGATGTGAGAGGTGTGTCAGCCTTTCTCTGGCCAGACACTGCACCTTCCACCACCCTACAGATTGTGATGGCATCCACCCCACCACCTCACCTCACTGGCTTTTGTGAGAAGCCTTTCATTCTTCAGAGACTCCAGGGCTGGTCAGAAATGTTCTTGGAGACCTCATATGAAGTGCTTCACCCCCAAAATTTGGTTTCTGGATCCCACCTGGACTTAGGCAAGCTCAAGATGCAGAGTCGCCAGTCCTGTGTGAACGGGACTCTCCTGCTCATGCTCTAAGCTGAGCTTTCACAATCAAGAACTGCAGGGTCATCATTTGCAGGATGCAGGGATCCTGCAGGCTGGCCAGATGCTGAACAAGGGTTTTTCAAAATCACACTGGGGACCTGAGGGTTCCTACATTTTCCTTTTTTTTTTTTTTTTTTTTTTTTTTGGTTGTAGCCCTCAGTGACTTAATAACCTCCCCAAGTGCCCTGACAAACGTGTTCCAGGACATTGCTCATCCCTTCAGCCTGTAAGTTCATGCACGTTATGGGATTTGCATATTGTTGTATTTGGTAGCCTTCCCAAAGCAAAGCTTGAGTTCTTGCTTAAGCCTAAAATCCAGCCAGGACTGCTCTGCAGTTGTGATTGCTCCCCATGAACATGTTGGCTTTTTGGCTTGGTGCACGAAACTCTCTTCACATTAGTAAAGCCTGGAAGCATCTGGAAGGCAAAGGTTAAGCCAAAATGCCCAAGGAAAGCTCAGATCAGCAAAATACGGTGCAGGGAAGGTTTGAGTGGTTTTTGAGTAGTCAGGTGATACAAAGCTCAGAAGAAGCTTTGGTGAAGTTGCATCAACTGAAAATGTGACCTTGTGACTTTATGGATCCATTAATATTTCAATGTCTCAGTGGAATAATCTGAAAAGTGTCAGGGACAACACAATTTCTAGGATAACTGCTCTATATGCACAAGGTGAGTGGGAAATAATACATGAGGTTAAGTGGGGCCTGTTGTCAGAGTCATTGTGCCTGCTTAGAATTGCCCCAAGGATTTGAGAACAGCCCTCTTCATGGTAAAAATCCCATTTTACTGCAGCCAAAAAGCACTGGTGTTTTCTGAGGTGTGGTATTGAGCTGCGGGGTCATTCCTTGTGAGTGGAGAAATCAAAACTGCAAGGAGAAAGGGAAATAAAAATTGATATCTTGGGGTACTCCCCACTTGCAAAGCAGTTGGAAAAGTTTGGTTTTCATTTTGGCACAGTGTGGAAAAAGCTCTGGCATCCAGGAAAGCCTTCCCTGCTCCCCTTCCCTGCCCAGCTCTCCGTGGATGGAAGGCTGTGAGAGAAGTTCTCCACAAAGACCAAAACTCCTCAGTCCTTAGCCATGACATCTTGTGGCTGATCCCACCCTCCAGCCCGAGGCAATGGGCACAAAAGGAAAGCTCATTCCCAGTCCCCTCGGCAGTTACCTTGATTAGGCAAGTGAGGAAAACTGGGGGCAGGTGCAAGGTGCTTCTGTCACCCAGTGAGAGGCACAGCCTCAGGGAAAAAGGGATGGAGGGAGGGGACAATGTTTGGTTTGCATCCTGAGGATTGAGGCATTTTCCTACCTTCCAGCCACCATCACCTCTCCCTGTCAGGGAGGAGGAGCTTTACTTGGTGCTACCCACCACCAGGTAAAGCATGAGGCTGTTGTTAGGGGTAAACCTGTATTTTTAATTTTTTTGGGAACATACCCAAATTCTGAAGCGAAGCCCACGGCTCAGGCTCTGGCTATGTGGTGCGTTGGCTGCACAGTACCACACAGAATATTCCATGTGCCCCCTGAAATTCAGGTTTGCTACCATCACCTCTCCCTGTCAAGGAAGAGGAGCTTTACCTGGTGCTGGCCCCACCACCAGGTAAAGCATGAGGCTGTTGTTAGGTGTAAACCTGTATTTTTAATTTTTTTGGGAACATACCCAAATTCTGAAGCGAAGCCCACGGCTCTGGCTCTGGCTATGTGGTGCGTTGGCTGCACAGTACCACACAGAATATTCCATGTGCCCCCTGAAATTCAGGTTTGCACAGCTGTCTGTGGTGCCATGGCCCTATCCAAAGACCTGAGGATGACCCCAGTCAGAACTTTTTGGCTGACTTCAGTGGCCTTGAATCAAGCCTGGTCCTGTCTGCGCAGGAGCTCATTTCCTAGCAAAAGAGAACGTCTTTGGAGAAGGTCCAAGCCAGACCACAGGGAAAAGGAGGATTCCCTGGCCTTCTGCCATGCCCTCCGGAGAAAATGCTCACAGTACTGACCAAATCCATCCTTCACTGGCCCTTCCTCACTGACTTCTCTCTCTCACAGCCACCAGGGAGTCGGCCTTCGTCCACGCCATCGCCTCCGCTGGGGTGGCTTTCGCCGTGACCAGGTCCTGCGCCGAGGGCTCGGCCACGATCTGCGGATGTGACACACGCCACAAGGGCTCTCCTGGAGAGGGCTGGAAGTGGGGGGGCTGCAGCGAGGACGTGGAGTTCGGGAGCATGGTGTCCCGGGAGTTCGCGGACGCGCGGGAGAACAGGCCCGACGCTCGCTCGGCCATGAACAGGCACAACAACGAAGCTGGAAGGACCGTAAGGACATTTCAGTTTCTCCTTTCCTGTAGATATTTTGTTACCTGATAGGGTGGATGGTGGGAGGAGATTAAGGAGGCTCAAAAGAGCTAAATCTGGGCAAATTTGTCACAAGATGGTAATACCTGTCCTGTGATAGTTCTAGATCGACGTGCCTGGTCTGTGAAAGGTCCACATAAACTCACCCACACAGATGTAAACACCTGCCTTGGAGTCAGCTGTCCAGATCTCTTTTATAGAGGATGGATCAAGTCAGGCTGAGGATGGGATTTCATCCCATTTTATAAGGATATCTACCCCCAGAAGTTGTGGATGCTCCATTCCTGGTAGTGCCCAAGGCAAGGTTGGACAGGCCTAGCAGAAGGTGTCCCTGCCCATCCCAGGCTAGTTGGAACTGAGCGATTTTTAAGGTCCCTTCCAACCCAAATCATTCTGTGATTCCATTATTAGAGTTATTAACTTAGTTAATAATGTCCTAATTGTGCCTGTTCCCTTCCATTGACTGTGGGGCACCTGAAGTTTGAGTGCAATTGTCCATTCCCCTTCTCTGCCGCCTTGAGGAAGGAGAAGAGCAGGAGAGCATTTCCCACAACCCATCTTCTCAACCCTGTTCTATTTCCCAGGAAATATTTGAACAAAATTAGAGGCAATATAACTCTGGTGCCTCCTGATTAAACTTGGATCATGCCCCGAAGCTGTTTTTACTTCAAACAATTCTGGAACAAAACGTGTAGGGGAAAAGAAAGCACAAAATCTGCCTTATACACAATATTTTCCCCAGGTGGAATAATCCCAAAAGGGGGACATTCCTTTTTTTTTTTTTTCATCATCAGGAATATCCTATAAATCCAGAAGAATGTAATTGGGAAACAGTTGTAGAAACTGAGGGAAACAATTTGTAGAACTGAGCCACAAAGCCCTTTCTAACAGAGATTATGCCACAGCTTCTCTGGGATAAGAGAGAACAGGTTAATGTGGTCTTGTCCCCACAGAAGGTCTTGCACATATCCAGGAGGACATTTGTGCAGTGAGCTGTACCAAAGCCACCACAGTTGCTGTGCTGGGACACATCCTCAGGCAGGCTGGGGTTTCTTGAGGGCTCCTGAAGTGAATACTGTGAATTCCCAGTGGTGTTATCCCACCTCACACCACAGCAGAGCTGCTGGAATACAACTTTTGAAAGGGAAATACCACCAGAAACCAAAATTGTCTGCAGTGGAGATGACCACAAGCAATAATGTGGTTTCCTCCAGCTCTGGCCTAAATTAGCCCAGGCACCTCCAGGAATGGGGCAGTGCTGGTGGCAGTTACTGGGATACATGGTGTGAAAAAGAGGGCTGAGGAGAAGCTGTGTGGGCTGGAAAGGAGGGCTTTCCTTTAAAGTGAGAATGTGTTTTAAAGTGAGAATCCTTGTTAAAAAAACAAACATCCCTGTGTTCACAGGCCTGCAAAGGTCTTTTTACTCTAAGCCTTGTTCCTTAACTCTTATTTTAGGACATTTTACAGGTGTCAGAGGTTACAGGGCAGATGTCACAGCATTACCTGTTTTAGAAAACTGGTGTTTTCCATTCTCACCATGCCAGCACCCATGGGACAGCTCTTCCAGGCCTCCATACTCGAGTGTTCCCAGCTAAACCTGAGCCATGGGCAATGTTTCAGATTAGTTCCCATTGGAACTCCAACCCTACCGCTCTGCCAGGAGTTTTGATTAAGTTCAGCGTGATTATACGAACCAAACCTTCTGCGGTTCTCTCTCCTCGCTAATTGCAACCTGCTATGTGGCGGGTGATACTCCGTAAATAACGCAGGAAAACACCTGGTGAGCACCAAGGTGCTGATTCATGGCAAATCTCTTGGACTCAGGCTGGCACTCGCCTGTTCACGTACCCAGAAATTTGCTGATCGCTCTGAAAATGCAGATTATCAAGCTGTTGCATAAGGTTGTCTCCCACCTCAGAGTACTGGAGGGCAACACCTCTATTTATTTAAACTTGTTATATAAGAGGTAAAAACAAGTAGCAAGCTTCTGGGATCAATAATCACCATTTATCCCAGGAAAGTGCTTTGTGTTGAAGCCTGAGCCTTTAAAATCAAAAGTAGGGCTCTTACTTTTTTTTTTTCCTTTGAAGTGATTTTAGAAAAATCGTAACCCCGGCTTTAAAATAAAAACAAATCCCTTTTCAGTTTCTGAAAGGAGCCATAGCAAGGCTTGAACCTGGTTTGCTTAAGTAAACATGAAACATATGTAAAGGATAGAGTTCTGGTCTAGATAGTTAGGACATTTCATCTTCCTTTTATTTCCAACAGAAAAGCTGCTCTTTTCATTTATGAAGGCATTGTTTGAGTAGCTTTGTGTGTTCTTTGCTTCTCTGCCTAGATGTGTTTGAATTCTTTTCCTGTGTGACAGCACTGTAATATACCCACATGAGCATTGATAAGGCAGAAGTTAATAAATCTTTTTGCTGAAAGTTTTTCGTAAATGCTTAAATTTGAGCTGGGAATCAGAACCAGTCACTGAAAACCATAAAGTACAGAAGTTTTATGGCTTAGACCCAGCAGTGAGCAGGGGATAAGGGGATTTTTGTTCACAAGAGTATAAATATATCTATGAAAACATCTGTAATTCCTTGGAAAATCATGGCCAAGTGGCAGAATGTCATAAGAGTTTTAATTACAGGTTAATTATGTGTTCCTTCTCCTTTGCCTTTCTTCTCTTTTGCAGTCTATCATTGAGCTCATGCACCTCAAGTGCAAGTGCCACGGGCTCTCGGGCAGCTGTGAAGTGAAGACCTGCTGGTGGTCCCAGCCAGACTTCAGGGTCATCGGCGACTACCTCAAGGACAAGTACGACAGCGCGTCCGAAATGGTGGTGGAAAAACACCGGGAATCCCGCGGCTGGGTGGAGACCCTCCGGCCCAAATACAACTTCTTCAAGGCCCCCACTGAGAAGGACCTGGTTTACTACGAGAACTCGCCAAACTTTTGCGAGCCCAACCCTGAGACAGGCTCCTTTGGGACCCGCGACAGGATCTGCAACGTCACTTCCCACGGGATTGACGGTTGCGACCTTTTGTGCTGCGGCCGCGGGCACAACACGAGGACTGAGAAACGGAAAGAGAAGTGTCACTGTATCTTCCACTGGTGCTGCTACGTCCGCTGCCAGGAGTGCATACGAGTCTACGACGTCCACACGTGCAAATAAATCAGGCATAAAACCCTTGGCCCGGGCTCCGAGTGGAGAAATGGATTTTGAGCCTACTTCCTCTGAGGTTGCAGACGTGAGAGAAGTCTACTTTTTTTTTGATATTAAAAGAATAAAAACTGGACAAAAAAATAAAAAATAAAAAGGCTAAAACTGGTTGGATAGAATAGGTCCAATGACTTCTGGGCTATCCCGAGGTACATCTGGCAGTCACACAAGTTCTGCCCCGACGCCAATGCCTCCAGAAGGAGAGCAGCTTTTTCCACCAGCCCACAACACCGAGCTGGAAAGAAGAGCAACAGCAAAAGCATGGATTTGCTCTGCTCCCACCCACCTGGAGTGACTCGTGTGATTAAGTGTCCTTTGAAAGACTTGCATCTTCCTAAGCATCTCCTTTTCCCTCAGCCAGGCAGGAGCTGTGCTGAACAGCAGCATTGAGCTTTCTGAGAGATCTCTCTGCAAACCCAAATGGCCAGACTGTGTAATATGAGCAACAGCAGCAAAAGAAATAAAAGCGGATAAATTAAGGATTTTTTTTTTTTTTAATATAAAGAACATGACTACTTCTTTGCTTTTGCCTTGGAACCAGAGAAGTCTACAAATATTTAACAGAGCTGGAGAGTGGACAAGTTCTTGATGTGAACTTCTTAGCATAGTAGCTTCTGCCAGATTTGACATAGGATCCCATGACATCTGTAGAAAGGAATGGAGGGAGAAGAGGAGGGAGAAAACTGCTGATGACTTCCTGTAAGCGCCCTGTTGGCACACAGGTGATGTGCGCAGTGTGGAAAAGTTCAGTGTCTTGTGTGTGAAGTGAAGAGGACTCTGTGTGCATTGAGAAGGACACAGTCCCACAAGTGGGAATGCTGCTCCAGCTCTCCAGCCTGGGACGTGGCTCAGCCAGTGAGTCTTCCTTGGAAACATGCGGTGCAGTGATTCTCTGGGGCTGGACACTCACTCCTGAGCACAGGACATCCATCTCCTCAGCACCCCAGGGAAAGGATGGGAAGGGAAAGTGTTCACCCTTCCTGCCTGGTCAAGGAGGTGTGGCACCAGCAGTGGGAAGTGCACTTAGTTCTTCCACTCTCTGCGCCTGATGCAGGCTTCTCAGGCACTTGGCAGCAGCCTGAGCCCACAGGTCTCTCGGGAACATGGATCTGAAGGAGCCATTGTCACCCACTGACTGACATGAGGGTGAACCAACCCCCCATCACCACCACACCCCTCAAGCCAGAGCAGTCTCAGACTCAAGCCAAACCTTGTTCCACAGCTAATTCCTACAGCCATTCCCACCTGTAAAAGTAGCACAAATTAAAATGGACAAAACCCAGAGTCTGAACAGGCCCAGAATTTGGGTAAGTTTGGACACAGAGCCGAATCCCAGCTTTGCAGTGCTGGCCCATCTCTGCTGCTCACCCCTGACTCCTCATCTTTGCATGTTGCTCTGCTTCCAATTCCAGATCAGGATCACAGTTTACAGAAACAGGTCTCACCTCCTCCATGAGCATCAGGACTTCCTTCAGGATAACAGGCATGAGCTCAGCCCACCACCTTGGTATTTACAGCACGGTAACCCTGCTTGTGTTATCCCTAGTCAATACTGGGATAAATGAGGGGTGAACCAAGCATGGAGTTGCAGCCTGTTTTAGCTCCAGATGCACTTGCCCTGTGTCCTCTTTGCCTTACCCCTGCTTTTGGGTTCCTATCCTGGAAAAAGGACAACAAATGGGTACTCATTCTGTCTCTTCAGCACAGGAGGGGAAACAGGGCATGAGTTAATTCCCATTTCGTGGCATTGTAATCACGGCCACTGGCTGGTTCACTCCTGGTAGAGAAATCAGAGCGCTCCTCTCTGCGTGTCAGACTTTTCCCAGGAACCAAAGGAGGGAGTACGCAGAAGAAGAAGGGAACAAACAGAGCTTAATCCCATCAGAGAGAAAACAGGAGGAAATGATGCCTCGGAGGGCTGGCTCTGAGTCACAGCGTCTCCTGGGACTACTCCTAGGCTGGTTATGCATCACCCATTTGTCTCAGGGCTGTGCCCACGGGCACAAGCAAGATTTGCTTATTGATGGAGGCACTTCTATCAGTGCTTTGCAAAAAAAAAAAAAAAAAAAAAAAAAGCTGCAGTGAAATGAGAGCAGAAGGAGAGAGGAGATCGAGAGAAGCAAAGAAAATATGGGGAGAAAATCAATCTGTGACATCTGTCCATGTAAGCACTGCACCCCATCGATGGCCACACGCCACATGGAGAAGGCAATAGGTCACTGAAAACTTAAATAAAGATAAGTTAATGGATGCATGACTGATTTTCATAGTGCAGTCTTGGAGAAAAGGAAAACTTAATCATGGGAAATAGAGAAGGAAGCCACTGCAGGGGGAGATTGGACCTATAACCAACATTCAAACACAATCTGTCAAGAAAGCAAATGCTCCAGAAAGCCACATAAGGGGTGGAAGACATTGATAAATTGGAGAAGATGGGATAAGGGAAGATACACCTGATTTACTTAATATGATGCAGTGCAAGCAGACACAGTGAGAGATGTCAGACACGTCCTACCAGGAACTTCTGTCAATAAATGGTGACACAACAGTGAAAATTCAAATCATTGCAGGCCACAGTCCCTTCAATCCATTGACTTCAGCGGGGTCACATCCACAACTGGTTTTACCCTTAGATTTTTAAGCCAAGTGGTTTCAAACTCCTTCTTTTATACCACACCAGTGAAGAAATGGGTTGGAGGATTTGACTCCCGTGTGTGGGAGCTGGAATCTGGCCCCATCCCATCCACCACTTCTGCTTTTGCACCAGAACAAGCCCAGCATCATCAGCAGGTGAAGCTTTTTGGGAAGCAAGGGGAAAAAAATTGAAACTGGGCATTTGCTGAGCAATTGCCTCCAGAGGTGGACAAATTTTGACTGCAACAGTGGGAGTTATTTCATCTGGTCTAAGCTATTTATCTAATTTTCTGCTAGGATCAATGGCAAGAAACAAATCCAGAAGGTGATTCATTGTACTTAGGATGGTACCTAGGTTGTGTTTGGTTAAAAGTGCCCTCTGGGTGTATCTCTGACTTCAGCTGCTGAGCTCACAGTAGACGATGAGCTCTTCCATGGGTCCAGACTGATGATGTGAAATCCACCATGAGTCAAGGAGGTGAAGCTGCAACCTGATCATCATCTGAGATGGGCTGGAAGCTGTGCTCCTTCCCTCCAAAATGGGGTCAGGCTTGAACCAGCTCAGTGGCTGGGGACTCCTCCTCTCTCATTCAAGGGGATTTTAACGAAGCCTGTGGGTGCTTGTTTGGGTTTGTTATGTAATTAATCATCTCTGTGATGATACAATGTAAGGGGTTGAGCAGCTGCTACTAAAGTCAATGAAAAATGCCTGCGTGAATTCTGTTCATCACCCCAAGGGCACCCGGGGGTTCCAGTCCTGGGTCTGACTCTGCCCATCCCTGAGGGGGGAAAAGAGCCTGTCAGGGGTCTGGGAGCTGGGCCTGTGGCTGACCCCAGGGTTTTGGAGAGGGGGCTTGGGCCATTGCTCACTGCTACACATGAATTTGGGAGGTGTCTTTGGAAAACTGAGATCCCTCTCCGCTGCCTGCACCGGGTGTCTCGAGTCAGGGTTTCCACTGCACCAGTGAGAAAAATTCAGTCAGTGATGAGTGAGGTGCCTTCCTTCCCTACAGGAGATGGTCTGAATACCACCCAGAGCTGCCTTCTGCCTCAGGTTCTCCTGGGAAAACTGTAGGACATTACTCATGGAAGGGTCTTGGCATTTCACTCAATAATATCAACATCTGGTGACATATTACAGGTGCCCTACAATGTCCTATTGGCATCCAGATGTTGTTTCAATGGCCTAAGACCCACACAGATCATAAATCCCACAGATTTATGATCCACAGATCTTACTGACCCACAGATCTGGGCAGTCAGAGACTGCTGAGTGTCCAAAATGACCCAGGATATCTTTGTGTAGGCGATTGAATTGGGCACTTCTCTGGACATGGTTTTCTGTCAAACCTTCTCCCCCACCTTGGTGTAATGCTCCAGTTTATAATCAAAAGGAAAACATCATTAATTTCCCACAAATGGGAGCTGGCCATCCTCACCTCCATGCTCCCTGGTGTCCTTCCCTTCAGTGTCCACTGGCGAGGTTTGTCCTCAGGCAGATGGTTTGTACCAAGGGTGTGTCTGGCAGGACAGGGGAAAAGGGACAAGACGTCACCCAACAAAGTAACAGATGTAAAAAAAACAAGTGAAAAAGGACCTTAATTCCATCCTCTCACATGCTGCTATCCAACTTCTCCTTTACCTGAACAGATGGTTCAGATGGGCCCCATCAGTTCCACACCCAGCTTCTTAAAGACAGCGGTGTTATCTGCCAGGGGTGAATTTGGCCTCATCTCTTTTCTTTCTATGAAAGAAATAGAAAGTTTAGCAGTTTTGTTGCTTTGTTGGTTGGTTTTTTGTTTGGTTTTTTTCCCCTTGTTTGGTTTAGTTTTAGAATTTGGAGGCTTCTCTTTCTGAGAAAATGAAAATATGGGGAGGGAAGAACATTTTTGTTGCTTGACCCCAGTGTATCTCTCTCAGCTGGGTGTCATACCCAGCACTGACTGTCATCTCCAAAGCATTTTGCAATCTCCAAAATTGCTTCCACTCCTTATGGGAAGCTTCACGTGCAGAACTAAAGCAGTTGGGATTTAATTTTTGGAGGGGATTGCAGAGACAACCACACCACAAAATGCAACATGGCACATCAATCCCTGAGTCAGCACCGACCATGTCAGCCCTGCAGTTCTGTCATCTAAGCATTGCAGATTTTCTGTATTAACAAACCTCAGAAAACAATTTATTCTGCCTCTCAATCTCAAATATTTTTGGTGTTTTCATTGCATTCAGAGGTATTGCCACAGAAATGTCCCTGGATTATGTTACATTTGTCATGTGTGTTCATATTCTTATCACGCCCCCATCCTTAAATTCATATACAGGTGAA